TTTATATTCTGATTTTAATCCATAGTCATTAAAATGTGCAGAGTGACTGTTGTATGAGTCTTGTCCTTGTGGCCACCCCTCACCACACAAATATCCCATGTGTGCCTCAGGAGCAGATCGTGATGAATTTGGACAGCAGACTCCTGACGTTCCCCCTCTACATCTGCTGCAATTTCCTGTACACATCACCAGAGAAGAGGGTGGACAGTGAGGCACAGCTGGATCATGTGGAAACCTGAGACCCCTGGGTGTCTGTGACAGCCCCTCTCCCACCCTGGATGCTGCTCCAACAGCTCAGACAAGCAGGCCTTACATTGTAGCATCATCCCTGGCCTTAGTGCTCTCCTMTGCATCTCTGAAGAGAAGATCAGACATTAGATAGGCCAAAACTGGTCAACCTTTTTTGTTTTTTAAAAAATTTTATTTCTGTTCTGCATTGTCAGGCAGTAACCATTCCGTGTTTGAGAAGTGTTACACTCGGGCTTTTCTGGATAAAAACTGAGCCAAATTGGAAATAGGGAATTTGTGTGGATCACAATGTAGGGAATTACCTGTTGGATTCTGAGCACACGTTGTAGGTTGTGTGGGTTTTGTTAGTGTGGCTTTTGGTTGTATTATTTGTTGGATTTTTTAATAACTGATCTGTAAATACCAGATCCATATTTTGCTTATTTTCYTGGTCCTTTTCCATTAGGACCAAATAATCTTTGTAAATGTGGCCTCTCAGCTTTGGTTATTTAACTGCCCAGCCTTTCCCACCTGCTGAGTTTAAGCTTTTTTTGCAGCTTACACACACATTTCATTATTGCTGTTGTTCTGACACTGCAGCCAATAATTCTGTCTTTTAGCAGGTTAAAATACTAACAAGGATGTTCTCAAGTGAATTATTTTTTTACATGTACAGCAAATACTCCAGTGTCCTCACTGTCACTTGAGTCCTGTTAGAAGCAGCTCTCAGCTGGAGCTCTGCTGARTGCTGATTCTACTCACACAAACCAAATAACCAGTTTTTAAACATCTTCTGTGGCTGTTTTAGCTGTAAYCTTGGGAATACATCCCGTGTTAGCTCAGGAACTTGTGACTTTTGAGTGCCTTTTGAGTTGTATGTGTAACACCAACTTCACATCAGTTCAGCAAGGTCACAGGATCCAAAGGCAGAGCTGGGAACAAGGGATTCCTTTCCAGTTGTGTGATGGACACGTAGTGTCATGGTACACTCTGTTCAGTCTTTGTTGGATTTTATGTTTTCTCTTACAATTTTGAATTCTTACAGCAGGATTTTTTGATTCAAAGTGGGAATTTTTGCATCGTTAACCTATTTTTTTAATGTAAAAAAAAATATAAAACCATTTGTACTTTATAACAAGGATAAAAATGTGTTGGGCAAGATTGAAAAACATGGCAACTTGTCAGTAAATTATTTCAAGTGGAATATTCACCTGTGTCTGTTCTTTCTTGCTGGGAATACCTTTTGTGTTGGATTTACCCTGTGGATTCAGCACCTGTGTGTGATCTTGTGTTGTGTCACAGCTTTGGCAGTAGAGAGCAGAAGCATTTTAAGGTGTTAAGCTGCTAAAGCATCCAATTTATTTATTGGGTCAATTCTATTTAGATACTTAACTCTGGTTTTAATTAGAAGTCCCAACTCCTTGAAATTGAGTTAGTGGAGAKTGATTCAGTAGAAAGCAACAGGGGCTGCTGGTTAATGGCAGAGGAAACAGGTTTATCTCCCCTAGGGGGTTTTGAACAGCAGGTTCATGGCTGAGCTGTGGGGCTGRGCTGAGCTGTGCAGGGCTTTGCTCCCTGCCAGGGCCCGAGCCTGCTCTGCCCTCTGGACATGGGGCCCTGCTGCTGGGACCCACCCAGTGTCACAAGGACATGGGATGTGGAGCAGGAAATGCACCTTGGTATTTTTTTCCAGGCAACAACCCATTCCCTTGATCCCGAGGTGTCCTGGGTGTCCCCGAGCTTGCCCTCCTGGCTGTGGGGGCACTGTCAGTGCCAGGAACCACCCCCCTTCTCTGCTGTCCCTCTTGCCAGGGCCAGGATCAGGGATTTAGGGTGGGGGACACAGGTTCCCTTCCTCAGGGATTGCTGAGGGGGTGAGGGGAGCACAGAAGCCAAAACACACGACAATGAGCCCAGAAATGGGTGGTGGTTGTTTTTCTCTCATTTATTGTCAYTGACTAGGAGCAGCAGTGGTGGCCAAGGGGAGCTGAGCAGTACAACACCACACTCAGGAAAACGGTATGAAAAGTACAAAAATAAGGAAGCCTATATATAATATCATTGCAGTCAATTGCTAAAAATAAATATTGTAAACACGGAAGAACAACATCAGGTGAATCTACAGCACTCATTTCTGCCAGCAGCCACACAGTCTTTGGCTTTATGACTCCCCTGCCCACACGGAGCCAGYGCCCACATCAAGATGCGTTTTCTTTGCTTCAGGCCAGAAAGATTTCAGACTGGTCAGGGATGTCACAAGGGAAAGAATTTCCCTGTCTCCAAATTGCCTTGAGAACAGGAATTGCCTCTTTTTTCCTTCAGTGCCCATTTTTCTACCCAAGCAAGCAAATGATCAGCCCAAAGCAGGCATTTTCCTTATCTGGAAGGGAAGGATTTGTGATGAGGGCTCCCCCATCTCGTTCCAGTTTATTTTGTTGTTATCTTGTGCCTCACAACCCTTGCACGGTGTATTTTGCCACTGTTTCACGCCTCTCCCCTGCCGTGCACTTGGACCTTTCACCCCCTTATCTCTCCCCCAGCCAGATGGGTTTGGATTGCCTGATAAGGGAGAGCAGGCACAGAATTATCTGGGGTCAAACTGCACTTGTGCTGCTGCCAGGCCAGAGATCTGTGCCCCACTGATACCCCTGTGCCCCTCGGGCACTGAGCACGAGCTGTTCCCTCCCAGCCTTGAGCTCCAGGAAGGGAAGAGGCAATTTCTGCTTGCAAGGCTCAGTATTTGCTGATTGTGTTTATATATAATCTACATCTATATATAAAACCCAATAAAATCCTGTTCAAAGTACCAACGAGGAGAGAACTGCCTGGGAGGGAAGGCAGAGACTCTGCTCCCTGCTGCCTGCATGGTCAGAGAATGTCCCAGAACCCTGGGAGTGCAAAGAAAATGCATCCAAATAGGAACAACCAAGCAAAACAAAACCATCCTAAACCCACAAAGCAGCGCTTCTTCCTGCAGGGCAGACACAGACTGGGCAAGTCAGGCTCAGCAGTCTGTCCATCTGGCCCTMCAGATAATCATTTGATCTTCCCTTCATATCAATAATTAGGATTTAATCTTCCCTTCTTCATTTTAAACACATTCACAGAACATCCCATGGCGACGTTTTGGCGTGAGGTTCCGGTCCCAGCCATCACAATCAGACTGCACATCAAACACCTCCAGTGCTAATCCCCTTGGGGACAACAAGGAGCACAAAATCCTCCAGATGTTCCCCAAAAACCCTCCCTGCAGCCCTGGGGAGGGTGGATCTGCACTCACAGCTTCAAGTACTGCTTTTAACTGGGAACATTCCCGATCCTGCTTCATTCTGACTCAAAGCAAAAGCTTTCCAGCATTATGGGAGCCTGGGATATCCAGGTGGATATCCAGGTGTGAATCCCTCTGACCAAGCCCAGCCAAAAATCCACCAGCTCAGGGTGGATCCAGGGAGCTCAGGGTGATCCCTCCTCACCCCTGTGAAGCTACAGCCACTCCTTCACCCCAGACAGGTGAGGGGACTGTGGTGACCCTGCTCCAAGCCAGGCACTCAGCTCCCCARTTTCCCTCTCACCCCATCAGTCACCTGCTCCAATGGAGCCTGAATCAAAGGCAGGGCTGCTCAGATCCCAATCCTTCCCATCCTGCCCCCAAAACTATGGTTGTATAAAACGTCGCTCACTAACTGATGAAAACACTACAGATTTCAGAATGGGTACAGCTGGCTAACAGYAAAAACAGCCACTAATGCAACTCTGCACAGTGCAGCAGCTAAAAACATTTCCGTTTTGATTTTTCAATAGGCAAAATGCTGGTTTTCTGAGGAAAAAAAATCACACAAAAACTGCTTGGTACCAGATTAGAGGATTTCTGCATCATCCTTCAAAGATTTATTTGACAGCTTCTAAAACTTCCACTAAACTTGGTTTCTTACATCATTTCTATACACAGGTTTCATTTGTTATAATTGTCTCAAGGCTTATAAAAAATAAGCATTTAAAATGCCCAAAAGAGTAAATTTGCTTTAAAATTGTGCTACTAAACTTGACCCTCATCCCAACACAGAAGAGAGACTTTTGGTAATGAGGTTACCCCAAGCAGTATAAAAATATACATAAAAATAGACAAAAACTCTATCCTCCAATCTGAAGGGCTGTTTGTGGGGATTATTAGTTTGTTGGGGTTTTTTTTGTACATTACTGGAATTTCATTAACTTCTGCTAAGTATTTACAGAACACCTCCCACCCTCTGTCTGCCCCTGCTCACCTAGGCAGACACCTGCAGCTTTTAGTTCATCCAGAGTTTTCTGTTGGCAAAAATTGCTCCCTGTGTCTGACCATGGCACACGAGTAATGCTGCGGGCTCGGGTGTCCCTGGGGATGCTCATGGACAGCCCTGGGGAGGCCAAATGGGGATGAAGTGACACCAGGTGCTGTCACCTCACTGAGGAGATGAGCTTGGCTTTGCTGGTGCCAGCACTCGACTCAGATAGTGATGTGAGGTCAAGAGCGCTGCAGAGCCCTGGGTTGTTTCACCCACCCCTGGATGTGACCTGGAGCACAGCTGGGGATGGGGATGGGGACAAAATAAAATCTCTCTGAGGGTTCAACCCAGCCTAAACCCCACAGCATCRCCGCAGGGCCCTGCTGCTCCTGCACACTGCATCCCTGGCTTTCTGCTTTCCCTTTTGTCCTGGTGATWAAGTCAGAATGCCCAAACCTCTTGTACAACCATCCTCAGGAATCTCTTTGCATCTCTTTCTCCAGTCTACCCCAAGAAAATTTTAAATTAAAAAAAAAAAAGAAAAAGAAAAAAAATTTACTCTGTACTGTTCTTTAACAACATGAAAAGGTGACGTTAAAACTAAGTGATACAGCCCCCCCCCGAGACTATGTACATAAAAAGACATCAGATCTCTTAAAACATAAATATACAGTGTATAAATCCAGGTGCCACCTAAAGGCTGCAGCCACAGAACTATTTCACAGACACAAAGCAAACCAGACTCTCCACGCCGAGGGCAGACACACGGCCACGAGTTTGGGGCTTGGCAGGGGACACACCGGCCCGTGGCAGTGGCTACTTGTGCCCACACATGCACCAGGGAAGGGGGGAGTGGTGTCCAGGGGTGAAACACGACCCTACATACACGCCACGTTCCTACATGCTACTCAGGGTGTGTGGGAGAGGTCGGGAAATGGGATTAGACCCTGAGTCCCCAATTATTTCCAGGCACATGCTCTGCCAGAGCCAGCCGAGGGTCCCCTGAGCCGGCTCCAGCAGCTTCTCTAGTATTGCTCACCGAGGGAGATACGCGGTACCTCCAGTGCAGCCGCGGCCACGCCGTTGGAATTCTGCACCCTGTGCTTTAAGAGTTACCATGACTTTCATGGAAATAATACAGCCTTGATCAGGGTAAAAGACTAGTGGAGGTCTTTAGCCCAATCTTAGAGGTTTGCTTCTACAGCACGGACAGCTACRACTCCGACACACATAAACAGGTACTGTTAAAGTGACAATGCAGTGTCTCAATTATCCGAGCGTTATCCCTATGGCTGTTAGGGGAGGGTGAGTGGTTCGGAGCGGTGGAAGGAGAGCTGGAGAGTGACGGAGGCTGCAGGTGGGACAGCTCCAGCTCCACCTGGAAATGCAGGGAGAAGCCAAAAGACACTGTGAGCTTTACTCGACAGGCGGTTTTATGGCATGCAAGGAAACTCCTACGACAACACTTCGTACAGAGCCCACGGTGTCTCCAGTCCTGCCGTGGCGCCTCAGAGAACAAGTAAAGCTACGAGTCTGCTTGGAGGAGAGGGGTTGYATGGGTGTGTGAGTGTGTGCACGGAGGGACAGAGGGAGCGGGTGAGGAAATGTCYTGTTTTGCTGAAACCAAGCTCTTGGGCAAACCTCCTTCCCTCTACCGCTGGCCGGCCTCGCGGATGCGGCAGGCCACGGCCGTGATGAGCGCGGCGCCTTTGCCGCTGCCGTCCTCCGACTGCAGGAAGGTCACTTCGCACTTGGGGGACAACTGCTTCACTGTCTCGTGCATGACGGTGGAGAAGCTGCAGGGCAAGGGGAGGGAGAGGGTCTGAATTAACTGGCCATGGCATGAAGGTGCCAGTCCCAACCCCATC